TTTCTTAAATACAAAATAGAACGCCATATATATACAACCATCCAAAACCATGGTAATGTCACGGTGCTGATCAAGTCCTATAACTAATACAACTTATGTTAATATGACATCAAGACCAAAAAAATCCCACACCTTCGCAATGGTCACCATAACTCCAAGCTAGCTCTGTCCTGCTCCCATACAAAGTATGATCATCGCAGTCCATCCACATGGAAACAAAAGGATAAGTTAGAATTCAACAAAACAACCATACAAGCATAAAAATAAACATCTATGCTACTTGATTATCAAGTCACCAAATCATGAAGTCAAACACCATATTCTTCATCATAATAATAATCATGCAATTAAGCAACACATGAAAGATATCAATACATATCTATCATCTAATGCGTCGTCACACGTTCACCTAGGAGATCTCCCTAATAACAGAGCAGTATAAGTGACATCTCATCCTACTAAAACCATCCCAACCGTTTTCACGCCCAATGTGCCGGCTCGATCATAGCAAACTAGGATATTAATCCCCACTTGGGTTTACTCGGATGATGTCACTTACACACTTGAAAGTTCAGTTCCATCGTCAAGTATAACACAACTGGGTACAGGCTTACCACGATCTTGGCATGCATTACCAAGTCACTTGTGGAGTTTGCCCACCGACTATCTGCAAGGAACCAAACACCTTCCCCAATACTTGGTTAAGAGAATAACCCATGACCTCATATCCCACTCCAACACTAGCTAAGGACTTATAGGAGACTCACCCAAACCAGTGGCCTATCCAAGCACCACTCTCACCCAAAACAAGTGGCATATCCAAGCACCACTCTCATCCAAATCAGTGGCCTATCCAAGCACCACTCTCATCCAAATCAGTGGTCTATCCAAACACCACTCTCAAGAGACTCAATGTGAGCTCTTCTAGTTCAAAAACATTTTCCCTCTCCTCAAGTCCTATGTTAGACACATGTCATAAGGCATCACATGAAACAATGCATCATACATCATACATGGTCAATCCACCATCATGATCAATATCATCCTCATATGAAATTACATATACCAAATCATGTTTAAACATTCATATATATCATTACCAAGCATACACATGAATCAAACACCAATTTTCATCATATATCATACATATATGAACCAACTATATAACATATAAACAACTCCAACAACACGTAACATGTTCAACACATATTGTTCCTCGTCATACCACATCTCTACAACTTATTTAACATCATTTAACCACAATACTACTCAAACAACAAGCTTCCAACATACTACTCATCCATCATGTAGGCAACCAAATTACTTAGAAAATAATTTTATTAAACTAAGTCCTCATACTCAACGTATAAACTCACGCTCAGCCTCAACCTTCTAGAGGTACAACTCAACTCTCACACTAAGTACAAAATCCCACGCTCAGCGTCAGCCTTCCAGAGGCACATCTCACTCTCACGCTACACGTAGAATCTCACGCTTAGCCTCAAAGTTCCAACAACATTTCAAAATTGTCACACTAAGCGTGAAAACTCACGTTCAGTGTCCCAAACCTAGAAAATTCATACCAGCAGATGAACAACTCAAATATCCCAATCCCCTTAATCCATGCAGTGATCAAGACATGCAACCCAAAATACTTCAAGCATTAACATCATACAACTCAAAAAATCCAAGAAGAACAACATGCACCCACAATCACTCAAGAAATCATCACATTTTAACTTTGTCTTAAGAACAACAAAATCTCTCATTTTCACACAAAACCCCTTTAAATCCTCCTCACATTTGCAAATTTTACAAATATACCAACATTAACTTTCAATTCATTCAATAGCCCCACATTTTCAACCCAAATCCCAACTTCTCTTACCTGAAAATTGACTCATAATAGCTAAGAAGAGGAAGAAGGAGAAGAATTTATGAACAGTCGACTCGCAAATTTCAATCCACTAAAACCAAGCTTTCTAGTTTGAATTCAAAGAAAAGACAGAAGATATTAGTGATCTAAAGAAAAAGAATAATCAAACAGAGAATTTTGAGAGATAAAGAAGCTTACGGACCCATAGTCTTTCTCTCTATAACTTCTTTCTATAATTCATTTGTGAATGAGTTTATGAAATTTCGTTCTCAGAATAATTCTTATATACTTTTCTCTCCAGCGTTAACTAAACTCTAAACAATTAACTTACTACATTACATATATCATAGTGAAAATAAACAACTAACCTCATAAGATTAATATATGAACCATATTTAGATATATATACAATATATATATATATATGAAAGGATCTACTTATATATACATCAAAATTTAATGATCCAATCATTAAATTAAAAGTTTTTAATGAATAGATTAAGTATGTATATTTTCAACAAATTTGAAAATTATTTGATACTTTATTTCATTAATTCAAATTGATGGAACTACACTCAACGAAATCACTACTAGCAGCATAAACTATTCTACTAGAACAAACAAGATTAAGGGAAGAAACATGATATATATATATATATATCACGAATAAATCAACCTTAATAGTTCATACCCGATGGTATTTAATTAACCTTGGGAGAACGTTAACTCTTGTTATTATCACATGTAACTATGAGATGCCTATTTTCAACTTGTTTTATTTTGTACTTTTAGTTTAATCTTACTTTTTTTTTATTTAATTGCTGTCTCCCTCCTTTTTAATCACTAAAGTACGAAAGTTTGCCTCCTTGGTCTATTATCTACATTTGTAAATATCGAAGTTTTCTTTCTTGCTGACATTGTCATGATTGCAATTTTGTTTTCCCTTTTTCCTATCATTCGCAATTACTTGTTCGACTTTGCTATCCCTATCTATTGCATTTGTGTTTTACTCATGGAATGGAGGTTGTATTTTTTATAGGCGAAGTTAAAGAGGTACGTTGTATGTTTTTTCTTTAACAAATGACTAATATATATATTTTTTGTCGTTAATTTCTTATAAAACGATATTGATTGTGAGTATATTTATCTAAACTTTTTTATTTAATTTTTTTATCAAATGAATATTTTTTAAGAAGCAAGTTCTATTTATTTCTTAATTTTTTTTTAAAAATGAATTGGCCTTTGTTGTCGCGCAAATTGATTTTGATATGCTTATTCACAAATCACATCAAGTAATAAGTTTTGTTTGCATTATTATTCATGGTTGATTTTATTTGTATGTTATTATAATTTTTGTTTGTTTATTCATGTGATTTTCTTTATCTGATTGTCTTGTATGCATTAAAATTTAAAAGTGAGGTTTTTAACGTGTCATGATTTTACATGTTGGGCTAAAGCATTTTCAATTCAAAACATATGATCTTATTTAAATAATATTAGTTTAAATTTATTTTTAAGTCTTCAAATATGAAATAAATTTATTTTTAATTTTTAAATTAAAATTTGTTTTTTAGTGACTTAATTAAAAAAATAATCACTTCAGTCAAATGTTATTATTAATTTTATTAAGCAAAATTCACATATTATTAAATTTATCAAAGAGACTCAACTATTAGTATTGGTGATAGTAAAAAAACACATTCAACATAATTAAATACAATTAATTCAATTGGTCATTTTTAATAATGTCCGGAAGCTTGAGGAACCATTTTTTAAATTATAAATATTAAAAAATTGATTTTAAATTTAAGAGATAAAAAATTGTTCTAATAACTTAAAAACAAGTTAAACCAAATATATTTTGCAATATTTACTATGACACCTAAATTTCTTCTGATAAATATTATGCTTAGACTTTATAACGATAACAAAAACAATGAGAAAGTGGCTACCCGCTTGTATGTAAATTGTAATCGTCCTAATTGGATTTTGGGGGAAATAAAAAGTTATGGTCCCACCTATTTGTTTTTTCCACATGACACTTGATATTATTCCTAGTTCCTACTTATGGAATTTATCCATGTGTAACAATAAAGAGTATAATATGCATATTCAGTTAAATATATCATGCCAAATACATCAATTTAGAGTGTTCTTATTCAATTTTTTTAAATACCATTTAAAATTAAAATTATTAAAATTTATATATTTTTTTAATATAAAATTTTACAATGATGACAACTAAATTCAAACTAAAAATTATATACTATTTTAACCTTCATCACTAGTCTAATTCTTATAATTATAAGGCTTAAATATTTTGAATAATAGAATTCAAAATATTTTAAGAAGTTATATGAATTTTAAAAAATATTTTGCTTCATAATCTCAAAATTACCATTTTGATAAAGCTAAACAACTATGTATTTAGTTTTTCTTTAAAAAAGAAACTACATACATACGTGGGAGTGAGAGTGTAAAATTATTTCTCAAAATAAGAATGTGTGTATTTATTTAAGAATTTAGTTTCTTTAAAACAAAAATATGTTCTTTAGAAGATAAAAGTTATTGATTAAAGAATAATGATCGAGAAGTGATAAAATTAAATATATATAATAAAATTAAAATTTAATTATTATATTCACCATTAAATTTTTAATTAATATTTATTATTATACTTTATTTAGTATTTACTATCTCTTTGTGAGTTGAATTTTTTATTTAGATATACAATGATACAACAAATATATTTCCAGCAAATATTAATATTAATATTATTATTATTGGCTTAGTTGCTTCAGTTGTTAAAATTAGGTTTCACGTGAAGTTAACTCCTTATTAGTTGAGGAAAGCAAAAATGATTAAAGTACAGTGCTCCTTAAAAAAAAATAAAAAAAAATGGGCGTTTTCCCTATGATTAACCTTCCACCGCACCAAATCTGCCATTTAACGTAATAAGCACTTAACAAAACATTCACTGGACCGTCTTGCCCTTGTTCCCGAAAGGCAGTGACTGTGGCAGCAGGGTTAATAGTGATTTGTGTAGGGGTAAAATCGGAAATTGGTTAGCACCACGCGCGCCATTAATAACTTCACACGTCGCCTCCAATCATGAAAGAGCGTTCGTTGGCAGAGAAGAGAAGGAGAAAAGCCTTTTTAAATACACAAAAAAGAGAGAAAGATAGAGAGACTGACAGCACCTCTCTCTCTCTCTCTCTCTCCTCCTCGATCCCAAATCCGCTAGGGTTAGGGTTCCATTGCCTTTTCGTCTTTCGTTTTCGACTTTTATCTGCTTCTCTTTCTTCTAATTAATTAATCGCTTTTGTTGTTTTATTATTGATCCTTCTTTTTCCCCTTTGTTGAATTTAGGATTCTTATTCGATGCGATCCTGAGCTCGTAGATCGCCCTGAAGCTTCCGTTTCGAGGATTTTTTTAATCATTCTTTTTCCTGGCTATCAGGTTAGATTGTGTTTTGTAATGTTCGCGTTGTAATTTTTTTAATCATGCAGATTTGTATGAAGGATACACAAGTAGGGTTCGGATATTCGTGTTGTTATTTATTTGTTGAATTATTCAGTGCAGGGACTTCACACCGTCTATTCATATGGTGGTTGAATTGTGTTCTATAACGCCTGATTTATGCTGATCAATTTTTTGGGACTTGTTATTGTTTTTTTTTTTTTCTCAAAATATTTTGTTTGTTTTTATTTTCATGTTAGTCAATAGCTTGATGGCGTGGTTCTAATGATTTAACGTTTCCCTGAATTTGATGATTGTTAAATGGTTCTTATTTTAAAGGATATAGTTATTTTGTAGCAACTTGCTCTAATGTTTATATGAACGAACCATCTGTTCTGGTTGACGGAGATTATTATTATTATTGTGTACGATTTGAAAACGTTTGTTATCTAAATCAGTTGTATGTGCAGAAGAATCATCTATGCAACCCAAAAAATGAAGCTTTACTGAGAAGGGGACTGGTTTTGATTAGGAAACAGCTTAGGGAACTGTTCTTCATTATGTTCTAACATCCTGAGTTTGTTTGGCATTGACATATATTAAGTACCTGCTTGGGAGGCGTACAAAATCAATTCCTCCCTCTTTCAGACATTTCAATGTAAAATATGATATTCAGATTAATTTGGACATACATCCCAATTATATTAATTGTTTAAAATTGATTTTATTAGAACTAGTTCCATTCAAATTTAAAACAAATGGGCTCTAAGTTGGGTTTGGTATATGCTAATTAAATGAATACGCTGTAAAACTATTTTACTACTGTGTGTTATGTCTCTATGCTGTCCTGATAGTTTTGTTTGATCCACGTAGTGCCATCTCGTTGAGGTTGGTTGGTTGGTTGTTGTTTTGCAGCTTTATGCTGTCCCTGGGTGTTAATTTTTTGAGTTAATTAACTTTTCTGATTTGATCAGGTTAGATTGTGTTTTGTAATGTTCGCGTTGTAATTTTTTTAATCATGCAGATTTGTATGAAGGATACACAAGTAGGGTTCGGATATTCGTGTTGTTATTTATTTGTTGAATTATTCAGTGCAGGGACTTCACACCGTCTATTCATATGGTGGTTGAATTGTGTTCTATAACGCCTGATTTATGCTGATCAATTTTTTGGGACTTGTTATTGTTTTTTTTTTTTTCTCAAAATATTTTGTTTGTTTTTATTTTCATGTTAGTCAATAGCTTGATGGCGTGGTTCTAATGATTTAACGTTTCCCTGAATTTGATGATTGTTAAATGGTTCTTATTTTAAAGGATATAGTTATTTTGTAGCAACTTGCTCTAATGTTTATATGAACGAACCATCTGTTCTGGTTGACGGAGATTATTATTATTATTGTGTACGATTTGAAAACGTTTGTTATCTAAATCAGTTGTATGTGCAGAAGAATCATCTATGCAACCCAAAAAATGAAGCTTTACTGAGAAGGGGACTGGTTTTGATTAGGAAACAGCTTAGGGAACTGTTCTTCATTATGTTCTAACATCCTGAGTTTGTTTGGCATTGACATATATTAAGTACCTGCTTGGGAGGCGTACAAAATCAATTCCTCCCTCTTTCAGACATTTCAATGTAAAATATGATATTCAGATTAATTTGGACATACATCCCAATTATATTAATTGTTTAAAATTGATTTTATTAGAACTAGTTCCATTCAAATTTAAAACAAATGGGCTCTAAGTTGGGTTTGGTATATGCTAATTAAATGAATACGCTGTAAAACTATTTTACTACTGTGTGTTATGTCTCTATGCTGTCCTGATAGTTTTGTTTGATCCACGTAGTGCCATCTCGTTGAGGTTGGTTGGTTGGTTGTTGTTTTGCAGCTTTATGCTGTCCCTGGGTGTTAATTTTTTGAGTTAATTAACTTTTCTGATTTGGGCCTAAGGGGTAGGGTTGTTGGATTGTTTGAAATTAGTCCCTTGTTGGTGAAGGAAGGCATTCTGTTCTGTCCTGTTCATGTAGGAATTTAATATATTTTCCCCATTTTATTATGTGCTATGCATAGTAAATGATCCTTTTTTTTTTGGTAAAAGATGAATTTGATCTTTAAACTTTACAAAACATAATGAATTCTTAAATTCACGTGTTTATTTAAAGTTTGAGGACCAAATTCGTGAATGTGACAGTACAAGGACCTTGACCATGTTTAACTGAGTATAAGGACAAAAAACACATTTTTCCTTTGTGTCTAGAACTAATTTTGTTACTTTGTTAATGACACTAATTTAGAGAGGTAAACAAAAAAATGTGTTACTTTGTTGATGACACCCCTAACAAAGCACGATGTTGTTATTGACAATATGTGTTTGAATTAATATATAGCATCATACTCGCACCCTTCCTGGTACTTGTGCATTATTGTTGGATACTATGTATGCTATGAAATGACATACTTATTCTTAAATTAGTTTTGACTTTATCTTTAAATGCTTTAATATTTAAATATCTTTGGTACAGGAAAGTTGAAAAAAGATGGACCATGACAAGACTGGATGCCAAGCTCCCCCAGAAGGTCCTATATTGTGCATCAACAACTGTGGATTCTTTGGAAGTGCGGCTACCATGAACATGTGTTCTAAGTGCCACAAAGACATGATGCTGAAACAGGAGCAGGCACAGCTTGCAGCATCATCCATTGGGAATATTATGAATGGGTCATCAAGCGGCCTTGGAATTGAACCTGCCATTGCTACCAATGTGGATGTCTCAGTCAATTTGATAGAACCTAAAACTATCCCTGCACAACCTTTAGTTGCTTCAGGTTCAGAGGAGAGTGACGAGGTGAAGCCCAAGGATGGTCCAAAACGATGCAGCAACTGCAATAAGCGGGTTGGTTTAACAGGATTTAATTGTCGATGTGGTAACCTTTTCTGTGCCACACATCGCTACTCAGACAAGCATAATTGCCCATTTGATTATCGCACTGCTGCACGGGATGCCATAGCTAAAGCAAATCCGGTTGTCAAGGCTGAGAAACTTGATAAAATCTAGATTTGGTGCCTAAAGTTTCATGCCCTGAGATGCTGTTATGATCAATGTCGTCATCATGAGATGATCCGAGTTTCCTGCATATTTTAATGGTATTCTTATTATATTGTTATATGTGATGGGGGACTTGGGAGTTATAGGACATCCTTGCAGTTTGAAAAGGACTGTATTTCATGTGATTGGCAAAATATACGTCCTAGTGTTTTAATTTTAAGTATTTAAATCCCTGCTGGTTTGGTCGAAGTTGGTGTTGTTGGCATTGTAGTGCATCTATTCTGTTCCTTATCTCCTCCGTATTCGCACATGTCAGAATGGTATGTGCAATTTACAGATGATTTCTGGAGCATTCATGGACAATTGGACATGTGGTTAGATTGTAAATTATTATGGTTTCTTGGTTATCTGCGAATTTATCTCGGTAACAATGTGTTGAAATTGTTTGGGCTCACTATTTTTCATATATTAATTTTCGAGGTGTAGTGATGCATTTTCTATATTTATTTAATTCACTCGAAATTTGGAAAAATTATGGAATCGTGAGAAATAGTATTAGATAAATAGTGAAATCTACGAAATTGTCATTTTTAATAAACTTCAATTTTAGCTAATATAAAGTGCATTGTAGAGTTCATTGCTAGCATTTCTTAAGGAGAGAAGAAACATGGCAAAATTAACTATGTTTTTATAAGAGCGTGTACTTAGGGTAGTCATACCCATGTTTAATAAGAAAAACTTGGCTAAATCTGCATACGACTTAGTTAAACCTTTGCCGTTTTGATTTGATTTTGTTTTAAAAACTTTATAAGAAAATGATTTTTTATAATTTTAAACAAATTTAAAATAGATTAAAATAATGTGATAATTTTGTAACTATATTTTCTCATTAAAATGACTAACACTGTTTGATAAAGAAAGAAATAAAGAGGGAAAACAAGGAGTAGAAATTGAAGTTTAGTAGGAGAAAAATAGAAGAGAAGTGGAGGGACGATAAATTTTTCAATTAATTTATATTGAATTAAATAAAAAATAAAATTGATTTTGTAAATTAAATTATTCAATTGCCTTTTAATATCTTTTAATAAAAAATTAAAGTAAAATAAAGTTTTCAATTTTTAAAGCACAAATAGACTTAATCAGGGACAGATCTAGAATAGAAGGACAGAATCTTAACCTCTCTCCCTAAAATTTTTATAATTTGTTGATATAAAATTGTTTAAAAAATATATGTAATTGAAAAAAATTGTGGAAAAATATGGAACCCACTAATTATTTTATTTACTTCCTCTCTATTTAACTGCACCAAACAATTAAAAAAACTAACTTTCACTCCTTTTCTGTTTCTCTCTCTCTCTCCTACCAACTTCTACCGCAACAAACGCCAAACATAATGGAACTATTGTAGTAAGAAAGAGTAAAAACATTAACTGATCTAGACCAAAATCATATTTAAAGATATATTTTAAACTAATACAATTTATTAACTAACTATACTGTTAATCGGTGTTGAAAACCAGCTTGAAATTAGTCTTCAACTGAATTTTCTGAAAATTTAGCTCTCCAACAGATTTTTTTTTTATAAAAAGTTCGTGGACATAAATTTATAAATTCAAATTAAAACAATTTCTAATAAGCACTTATAAGTTATAACATGTATGGGAGTCAGATTGAAATGTTGCAAACAAACATTGACGAATTTCGAAGAATCAAAAGGAGAACACTTTTAGTTTAGCACTATTTTTTTATTTTTATTTTTTATTAATGTATTTTCTATATAGAAGATAATCCTATCCCAACCGGTAAAACTATTGAGTGATAATATTTTTCTCTGAGAATGAATGCATTTGCATATCCAAATCTTGAATGTGGGACTAAATTATATAGTTATTTAGATTTAATTTACTTATAATCTAATTATTTATATTGTTCTTTCTCTTGTTTAATGTATCAGTTAAATTATATTATTAGATTTTAATAATCAAACAAATTCAATAATTTTAAAATTTTGCCTTTTATAAAGATGCACATACTTATTATATATTAATATTTTACACGAATTACAATATCATTTAATTAATCATGTTGTCAATGTAAATTAATCGTTTTCATTCCGTACATTGCACTGGTTACAACTAGTTCTGTTACTTCTGTAGAGTTCAGTTAAAAGGGAATTAAATCAAATATTTCATGTTTAAAAACTGTTATCTCCAAAATGGGTTTATAACACATGTAAAATTTTCATCCAAATGTAAAAGCTATATATTTCATGTTGAATCAAACACAAAGTAAAATCATGTTTGAAAAAATCCAAACGTTTCTTTTTTTTTTTCTCTCTTGAAAATCATATTTTTTTATTTGTTAATAATATGATAAAAAGAGGGAAAGACACTCTCATGAGTACTGAAAATGAATGTCAATGACATGCTGTGAGGATCTTTAAGGCCAAACATATTTGAGAACTACAATCTTGATCTTGGAAGGCTCCCAACCCCAAGCCTAACATGCTATAACTCTACCAAACAAAAGGTTATTTTACCATTAAAAACTCACCAAATCCAACAAGGTAAAATGTAAATGATACAATCAAAATCTCCCCACTTATGCGTCTGGATGCTGGATATAAATTGAAATTTGGAACTACCTTGCAATGTTAACTTCATCAATAGATTTGATTTAGTAATTAACTATACCTTCATCTTCACTTTGTCAATGTCGAGAGTTGACGTGAAAAACAAACCTCTATAGCACATCGTGTCATAAAAAGAATAAGAAAAAATATCAACAGTCATAACTTAGGCATATCTAAAAATCGACGGATAATCACTTCTACCTCAAGACATGAAAACAAAACTCGTAATCTCAATTATGATATAGATATGAAAACAAAACTGATGTATTCAGATGAGAGGGAAGAGCCACAAGATGATTCTTTAAGTTGTGTTACAACAATTTAAACAATTATTTGCCGGATCAAAATTTAGAGAAGATCCAAATAGTCTTCTTACCGTGAAGGGAAGAGCCACAAGCTTCTTCTTCCATGTCGTCATGTTGAAATGTTTTCTCAGTTATTTCATAGCTACAACAAGCTATAAACTACAGAAACCCAAAACTGAAATGAGAAAGAATCACAAGGCAAGGCTGCTAGATTCTGCTTCAAGATATTTACATATCCTCTCCATAACCTCTCTACCCTTGACACTATTCTGAAGGAACTTGTCAGCACATCGCTGCTCAACCTTCTCAGCCATGGACGCCAGAGCCGACAACGGCTTGATCCGGATGCGAGTCTCCTGCTGGCAAATTGTCCAGCCGGAGGGGTTATCCGGGTGAGGATCATACCGGATCTTCTCCTCCACCTCTATGAACTTCTGGAGGCTGATATTCCGCGAGGTTAGCTGCATGGATCGCGACTGGGCATCCACCACAGTGGATTCCACACAGTGGCAAATGTCCTGACCAATGATCCTGCGCACAAACCAGGGTCCAGGACAATGGATGGTGATAGCACGGGTTGTGTAAAGCTTCCCTGATGAAGGGTCAAGGTTGTGATTCAATGTGTCAACATCAAGAATATGGGATAATATGCGTTTGTTCTCTGGGTCAGCAAACTTGCGCCATGATGCACAAGTTACTCTTTC